TGATTCTTGTTTTCGGGTGGATTATTGAGTTGAGTCGAGATTAAATCAGTAAGTGAATAATATAACATATAACTTGAAAATTTATAGGAACTTCATGTATGTTTTTCAAGCTTCAAACAAAATATAGTTCTCAAAATTATAAATACCCCACATTAATAATACTTTGTTCTTGGACGAAGAAACCTATTTTTGTAGGCAGGTTTTGGGCTAGGGTGGGTTTCTAATAACTTGAACATATTTCCCTTTTAACTTTTGAAAATAATTGAGAATTTTGTTAAGCTGAACTTCAAATTTTTTTTTTTTTTATTTTTAAAAGGGGGAAACGAAAGAAAGAAAAATATCACTTGTCAAACAAAGGTTTGTGCTTTTTTCGCCTAAGAGTGCTTTAGGCGGTCAACATAGAATTAACTGTTTATTTTCCCACCTAGGCACAAAGTAGGGCATTTTCTCGAAATACCGAGCCTAAGCAGGCCTTTTAGAATACTAGTCGCTATTGATAGTCAAGCCAACATTTTTTTTTAATCATGATTTCAAAATAATTTGAACTGGCATTGGTTTGAACATGAGACAATTATATTGTTAGATCAAATTAGAATTTGGCAAGGATTTTGTTTCTTATAGAAATTTTTTCTTGGGAAGATACTCTGAGCTAACTTTCTTTAGAAGTTTTTTCAACTTGACAAACACTTTCAAAAAATTATTGTAGTAAATCCAAAAATAATTTCTTGATCTCAAAAGCAGTTTTTGACTTTTCAAAATTACTATCAAACAATACCTAAACGTTGTATCGAATATCGTTTTGAGGTGAAATATTTTAAATTGGAAATTTGAAAGAAAAAAGAAACTTTCTAGACCCCACATTAAGCAAATGCTAATCAATTTAGGTGAAGTTAATAAGCATAAAAAAGACTCGAGTTTTAACCATTTATTTCTTTGGTGAGCATTGTCTCATTATCAGAGAATTATTTTCTTGTTATGCTTGAAAAAGAAGGGAAATATATAAAATAGGAAAGAAGATTTAGTTGACCTCAAAATCAACGTCTAAAGGAAGATCAAAGATGCATGTGTTTTTTGGGTCCCAGAAAATCTCAATTATATTTTTCGAAGATTTCCCTGATTACTTAAGACCAATTACTCCATTATTTTATTACCATAAAAAAGATTAATCAGCAATTTTGAGGAAAATATTCCAACCATTCACCTTGACCATGAGCGAGCCAAAACTCTTATCATCTTTTCTGTGACATTTGAAATTGGTAACTTTGACCATCACAATTCGTAAAATCGAGAGGTGACATGCTCCAACATAGAGACCTAACTACTAGAATTTGTTAATTTTAAGAATTCGAACAAACTTGCAAAAAAATTATAGTGCGATTCTTGCGTTTGGCATTCTTGGGAGTTTATAAGCTCTCAACATAAGTTCCACCACGCACCGTGCATCAATGCCCGTGTGCAAATGTGAACCCATAAACAATAACACATTCTCTACCATAAGAACTAGTGAAATTTTGCATCTTTCAGTAGAAACAATCATAAAAACCAAACAAAATAAACAAAAATAAATAAATTGTACCGTCAATCCCAGATTATATGACAATAAAGATTATTTTTTTGGTTATTGAAATTTATTTTTGTCAAAAGTATATTATTCTATAGAAAAAGAGACTTATCACGAGTAGTTGGAGACTTGCAGTTGTTCCAAGACTTTCTCAGTACATAAAATATATAGGGTGATGCTACGTTTTTACACCCCCTCACATAGAGGGGAGCCTACACAAAATAAATTATGCGTGGGCCCCCCTCCCTGTTAGAGGGTGTAAACCCGTGTGTACACCTTGAGGTGTACACGGAGCATTATTCAAATATAAAAGCCCAACTATAACAATTGCAGATGGAAAAAAAAAAGGAACTCCATTTGAGTTCACGTTTTACTTTGCTAAAGCAACTTTTTTTTTAATCCCTTTCTCTTTCTCAAAGCATTAATGAATAAATGCAAAGTTACATGAACATCATGTGATCGCCCAGGACAGGCACTCCAGAACCAGCCACACTCGAAAGAACCAGGGCCAGTCGACTCTCCAATCATCAGACTGGAGGTGTGGATAACAAGATCACCAAACCCAGATATACTTATTTTTGTTCAAGGTAGAAAGTGAAAGTTCAACTCAATGCAGTTCATTAATTAGGCCATCAAAGTGTTCCTTAAATTTGGCAATTGTGGGATAGTTCTCCTTTCAACTAGGAATGCTTTGTAAAAACGATGACTAATCAACATTATATAGATCAGAAGCATTCTTTCAAACAATGTACTTTCCTAGTAACATACAACTAAGTGCAACAATCGGGTGTTCTCGTGTATTCTTGTATATAACTTGTAGTCTACTAACCTCTTTCTGGCGCATTTTTATGCCACTTCCGTGAGCGCTCTATTAATAAATTTTTGGTCGGCCCATAACCAATTGTCCCTTTGTCTATCCCTTTTGTTCAATTTCTGATCGAGTAAATAGAGTACCTTGCCATATGCATGTGAGAGAGACGTTGGAAGTTTAGTCCCAGACCATTGAAGCCGAACTTGAACTAGTCATCATCGGGATCAGCTGAGAAGTCTGGCTCTGCAGGTTTCTGTAACTTTGGTAATTCAACATCCTTGAGTTTTTGCGCTCCTCGTCTTGTGTTGGCAGCAAACCTGGAAGCCAGTATCGTGACTCCAAAGTGTTGTTTCACCTGAGAACAATTCGCTGCTGTGCTCTTTTTATCGTCCTCAGCTCGACCATTTTCATCAGATAATTGCTCACTGGAAGAATAAGAAAATGACTCTCTCATGCTTAGGCCTTTAGCCAACATTCTCTTCTTATGCCGACGCCAAGCAGCCTGGACGAAACAAGCTGCCCATGTCCTCCAGTGGTGAGAATAATACCGAAACGTGTGTTGCAATTTCTTACTGTGAAGGCGTCTAAATTGATTTGACACGAATTTAAGGTCTTCTGCCCTTAGTGCAAATGCTTCCACTTCAGTCAGGGCTCTGACTGTTCTTGTTGAAGAAGGCAAGTTGAGGGTAGACTTAGGTACCAATGCCCATGCAAGCAGTTCTTCACCACAAAAATCACCAGGTCTCAATGTTATCGAATTGAAGAATCCCGTCCGGCCTCCATTCGTGGTTGAGCTGTCCAGCGTTCCCCTTATAATAAAGAGCATCTCTGTTATGGGATCACCCTCCCGAACAATATATGTTCCCTGAGTACTCAAGGACGACACTAGGCGCTCGCATATGGCATCGAGAAGCTGATCATCCATTTGCGAGAAGAAGGGTACCTGGAATTGGGAAAAAGATATTGTTAATCTAATATAACAAAGATAAGAAGCTATTGATGCCGAAGGCTAAATTTGAATAAATAAATGTGTCGCCTTTCTAACAACTTAAGTTGTTAGATGTGACAGTTCAACATGGTATCGAAGCAAGAAAATGTTTAATTCAAATGAAATGAACTTTTACCAACTAGGGGAGATTGAGTATAAAAAATCTTACACGCCGAACAAGGTCTAAACATAGGTGGCGTTGGATATCACGACGCAGATCTGTAGGTAAGGTTTGAAGAATAGATTCTTCATCAACACCTCTTGTTGTAAGCCATTTGTATTGTATGAAACGTCTGACACGTTGTTGCAGATCCCCGGGGAGTTGACGATGCCTCATCCACTCCTCAGTGTCTCGACGTTTAAGCCTCCACTCCTCAAGCCTCACAGTTATAGATTGCATGTAGGTCTATAGATGATTTATGTACTAGAGTTAAGATATCAAACTCGACAAGAAAACATTCAGATAAAATAATTAATTAAAAGAAATCTCAATACACTAAATTGCAGTTTGCAGATAAACAACTGAACGGTTTGCCCACAGGATCATATGAAACTAAACGTCTTTCTTATTATGGATATAATGCCTCAAAATACAAGAAGGTTTTGAAAGCAATGGTAGTCAATTGGATAAGACATGTTCACTGAAAAAGCATTCGAACAGATTCATTGACAGAACATAAGAAGATTGGCGATCATTTAAATTTCTAATAGAGTAAAAAGTATGGGCGAACCAAACTTGAAAAGATTTTGAATGTAAATATACAAGGTAGTGTCTGGATTCTTAATATACCTGCATGTTTCCAATTAAATGGGCGAACAGAACAAGCCCCAAGATGGCAATGAGTATCGCAAACAATGTTTCACCAATAAATGTGCTGGTCGTTAATGACTGGCCATAAGAACTGAAATAAAAAAGGCAAAAATGACCCCAAATTCTTCTAAACATATAGTCTGTATAACTCATATTTTCAATCCCCGAGTAGAGGTCATTTGTATCTCCTTCGAAAACTTTGAAGGTAATGGCTGAATAATTGAAAGAATTACCTATACAAAATTAAGTACCATAATATGATGAAACGTATTAGGTTCCATATGATACAACATAAAAGTATTTCCAAGAGACTCTCTCTCTCTAAATACAAAATGCTTGTCATTTTAAAAAGCAAATACTTAAAAATAAGCTCTAAGAAACTCTCTATTTTAACTTTTTAAAATACAGAGTGAGTTTGGCTCACCAAATTTGGAAAGCCAAACTCACTCTATATTCTTAATGTATAATTACATTTAGAGCCTGTTTGGGAGTGATTTTCTCTCTCAAAAAATTGATTTTTTGACCGTTATTTCACTATTTCAGCCTTCATATTTGATCTTTTCTCTCATAGATGGACTCCACTTTTCTCCTAACGGTCAAAAAATCAATTCTCAAAATCACTCCCAAACGGGCTCTTAATAAGATTTCAATAATGAATAGTCTACTTCTTAAATTGTTTTAACCACGTTTATATTAACTGGTCATTAACATATAAAAAATTCTGTTAAATTAAAATATGAGCAGAAATCAATAAATGTTCATGAGAAAGGCAAAATAAAGAGTCAAAATAGAGAGTATTGTTGTAAGCATAAAAATTTTGATTCTCTAAATTTAATTATGCTATCTATAATGTATAAGATGTTTTTTATAAATAAAGAGTCTCTTAGAGATGTTCTAAGTGGGAATAAACATTTAAATTAGATGAGCAGAAGTTAGGAAATTATACCTCAAGTTCTGTAAACCCCACCATAAACAGTAGAAGTACTTCTCGAGAAATGCAGATGAGACGACTTGGTTTCCGATGGCATTTCCAAATATTCCATAATTAAAGTTTGATGTACCCTCTGGATTACAATAATTAAAAACACGAGTGCTGTTTACCCACATATTTCTGTCCCTACGTCCCAAGGTCCCACAATCCAAAAATTTAAGGGAGCATCCAGTACTATTGAATTCATTCCGGCAAGCTGATTTCCAGCAAGTTGCGTGTCTCTCGATTGACAATAAGAACCAGGAAGCTCCCAATACCTAAAAAGAAGCTAAAAATAATTGAAATACTGCATTTTGGGAAAAGTGAGTTAATAAAAAACCCGACTGTTTACAAAAAACAGCATACATGGCTTGCTAACATATAGAGTACAAGATTGTATGCAGCCCCGGCCCAAGCTGTTTTTGTGACAACTCCTGTAGCTTTGATAATTTGAGAGCTCAACGGAAAAATCAGATATAATCTTGGGATATACTGGATCAGGACAATTAACACCAAGGCATTGTTTGTATGATCAGCATGGGAGCTTCTAATTGATGGTAATATCGACCATATGACAATCTGTAGAAAATACAAACAAACACTAGATCCAAAATTCCAATTGAAAATTATCCAAAGGAAGTGCTTATATCTAAGATTTAGATATCTAGCATCAAGAATCATGTCAGAGTTCAATACAAGAAGGCAGTTCAACCATAAAAGTCCATTGCCGGCAAAATATACAAAAGCTATTTATCAGTATCTTCAAAAAGGGAAAAAATGACATAGCAATTCTTGCAATTTTTTATGCAGACCATTCGAATTTGCACTGATTCAACGAAACAACTTAGGTAGTTAAGCCCAAATTTCATTATAACTTCTAATGAATTAAGAATAAATAAGTTGATCTACCATTTATACATGGTAAAACTTGTAAAGATTTTTCAATGACTAGTAGTTACAGTAAGCAAATTTGACTACCTGAGGAAGGGGAAGTGCTGCAATTGCATCGATGAAGAATTCCGATTTCAAGTACCTTCTAGCAATCTTGTTCAGATCCATAACAAGTTCACCTCTGCCAGACACCCTTGAACTAGGTGATACATAAGCAGTCCTAAATTTTATGACTACATGCAGCAGATAGAATATATCTGCCACGGTCCTTAAACAGGTAACAATAATTCCCAAATTCAAATCAGTTTGCATACATGATGAATTCCCTTCATTTACCACTGAAGGAAGATAGAAAAACAATGGATCAACAAATAGTGCTATCAAGCAAGAAAACAAGAAAATTCTGTTCCATTTTATGACAATTTCACTTCCAGGATCAAGGACTGTCTTTTTCTCTGGCTCATGACCTTCTGGAAAAACTTTAAACCTTCCAAATTTAGGAATCTTGTTTGTTCTTCTCTTGTCCACGAATCCAACTTCAGATTTCCTTAAAGGGCCTGAAGTTTTATACGGAGGCAGTTGTTTTTCAAGATGTTGGCCCTCATTCTGTTCCCAGAAAATTTCAAGACTTTGTTTTTCCTCATTATGAAACCTATAAATATTGAAATTATTAAACCCCATTTATCAGTTTTCCATAAACCCACAAAAAATGGAAGAATACAGAGGGAAGAAAAACAAGAAAATACCTGACTTGCTTCTCTTTCTTGAACTCCATGCCTACAGTTTATCAGTATACTAATTTTCACTAAATTTCTGCACTGTGGGTGTTTGAATAAATGGATCCATCATTCCCAAGTCTTTCTCACCACTATTCTTGCTTGAAAAATGTTGTCAATTCCAAAAACTGTCCAATAATAGCGTGTTTAATCTTTAAAGTGGGAAAATGGAAAAATGTCTTTTGTGGATGAGGTGGATGGAACACGAAAATATGTTGATTTAGTGTGGGTTGACTCTCATTAAAAGATTGCTCAGTATTAGCTGTAAAATGGAAGAAAAACAGGTGTATGGTGTCACTTGATTATTTTATGCAGTAAAATAAAGATTTCAGAGTAGAGAGAAGGACGTGAAGGCCATGAAAGAACATTATAATACAGTAAAGATTGCAGAAAGAAAATTAAAAAATGGTGGAACCGAGGAAGAGAATTTTGTGGCAGCAGATCTCTTGGGTAAACATATTTTCAAACGTGCCACGAAAACTTTTTTTCTGCAGTGATTCACGCATACCGTATTTGGTTGTATACTTGTATTCAAGATACTTAAATCAAACAGGATTTTCATAATTATACTTACCCTTTTTATGGAAACTTTTATTTTCTCAAGAGTAAGTAATTTGTTTTTTTTTTTTGTTTTTTTTTGTAAAGACACTTCAATAATTTATTTCTACTTTTAATTAAAATTTGACTCAATTTGATGTGTAATGCTCTTCAACAATACTAATAATCAACTGTCTATTTGACAATAAAATAACCGTCACATTTTATTTTTTTTGAATAATATTATTCATTTAAAGTCCAGATGTTGATCAGCTTTATTCAAAGCATACAATAATTTAATAAGTGACTTATTTTTAACTTTTGACTATCAAGTCTTATTAGTTATTATGAAATTTATCTATTTACAAGAATTTTTTTACGCTTAACTGAACATGCATCTCCTACAGTTTAGGTTCAGTGTATTTATGTTGTTTTATTCTATCATATTATCATCATGTTTAGTACGTTGAATTAAACATTATTTGACCTTAAAGGATGTAACGGGTCAAATTCTAATCAATACAATATACTAAATATACATATCAATGGCATACGATACACAATAATTTACAAATTATACTACTAATACATTTTCTATAGCTCTTGAAGCATCAAAAGTTAATAATTTTAGTATCTTTTATGTCAAACAAATTGATGAATTAATGGCTTGATTGAGGTCATTCTAGTACAAGTTCGACATCTAGGCACATGAACTAACTTTGTCAGCACCAAGAATGTTTAGGCCCCACAAAAAGGATTTTCATAAATCAAATCTATTGTGTCACAATATTTTATTATTTTATTACATATTTATTCTTATATTAATTCAATGAAGTCTTAAAATAATGTTTTAGAAAAACTCATTTAAATTTTTAAATTGCTCGCTTTAGTATACTTTGATTCTTAATATTATTTTTGTTTTGTCTATTATTTGGTTCTATCTTGTGAAGAAAGGTAAGAATTTATTGACGTGAATCTTCGTATTTATTTATGTAGAATAGAAACAATCACCTTTTTTATATTCTTATATGTCAATATTAATATAATTCTTCTAGTATCACGTAAAAGTAGATTGTCAAATGACGGAAACTTTTATTAATAATTTTGCTCTTTTATTACTCCATCCGTCCAAATTACATAGGATGTGTTTCCTTTTTCTCTTATATCAAATATATAGGCCCGTTTCCTAATTTAGAATATTTTGTTTTTCTTTTCTTTACTAATATATCCTTATTCAATTTTCCTCACTTAATATACCAACTTCTTGAAATCATTCAAATTACACTCTTCCCATTTCTTGAAAACATGGAACAACTCTCATTTCATCTTTTTCAAATTAAATCTTTCAAATTTGTTTACTAATTCCAACAATAATTTACTACTACATACTGAAAATTAAATAGAGGTAAACTAAAAAAGATCTTGGCAAAAATTAATTTTTCAATGGCATTAAAGAAAATTTCTTAATCCGTGTGAAAAACGAAACAATCCTATATAATTGAGACTAAGGAAGTATAATTTATGTTTTTTTTATCCGTTTTTCAAGTTTTTGTAAGGGATTTTTTCTCCCTTGTTGGGAGCAGCTTAATTATTCCTGTAGATGTCCAACCATCTCCATTTGTCATCATGCTGACAATTTTTGGCAATATTTATTGACAAGTCAATAACAATGTTGAATACAACAATAACTGATTCTCTAATATAAATATGATTTTAAGCCGCCAAATGTTAGAAGGTAGATCAAACGTTACAAGCACAAAGTATAACCAGAAAACGACACTAAAAATGTCTTATTGGCATGACATAAGTGCAAATGTACAAACAGCCTTCCACCCTATACCCTTGAAAGCATAACCTGCGATTTACCTCTCTCACGATACTCCAAAGCAGGCGTGGTGAAGAACCCTTAAGGTTAAGATTTAACCTTTATTTTTATATACATATGCCTCTCTCTCTCTCTCTCTCTCTCTCTCTCAACATTATTCGTAATATAGTCTCTTATGAAAATGCCTCACACTGTGTCCCCCCATTTTGTTCAGTTTTCTTATTTTCAACGTAGCATTAATTAATGTTGAAAATAAGTACCATAATAATAGAGGTTAGGAACATTTAACGCAATTACAATGTGATCCACTTTATGAAGAATTGTAATTTACAACCTCCCTTAATTAGCTAAATACGAAATAATGAGGATGTTATAATGACATTAAGACCACTAGTCATGGTGGAGCTGTAGGATACATACGTTCAATGCACCAGTTGACATATATTCATCACTGCGCCTGATATGATTAAAGCTCTCAACACTTTTTGAGTAAACCCACCTAATATCATGAAATCCGAGCACTAAAATTCACTCACTCAGATGATATAATTGACAATTGACGAATTTTATCACGCGTCTTTCTTTCTCAATCTTATTCAATTCCATGTTTCGTATTGTATGTGAATGCACAAGCTTCGTCTAGCACTGCCAATAGGGATTCGTGGAGCATCTTTCAGCATAAAAGACATCATTAAAGCATTTGAACTTCATGGACTAATACCACCTGCCTTGACTAGAATTTGCATCCACTGAACGACACAATCTACCCATACAGTATTTGGCGGATTAAAATGCAAATCAAGATTCTTAACGAATATATGGAGTTCAGTCCGACCATCAAACCCCTAACAGAGTTTATGTCAAGCTAATCCCCAAGTACCATCTAGTACAACCAAGCACATAATTAGACGAAAGAACTCATCCATAACAGAGTTATAGCCTCTACTTTTCTACCAAAGGGAGAAAATGGAGGGATAAGTACAGTTGAACAAAATGGAAGGACCATAATTCTATCTCAAATTTATAAGCAATAATGAATAACAGTTAGAAATAAAAATCAGGTTGCCGCAGTGAAGCTAGATAGCCCTCAAAGTTGAAGCATGAAAATCAATAAGCACCAATAACGTGACTTTCTGGGTTGGACAGACGTCTTAATCAGCTTGCTTGTCGAAAAGCCATCAGGTAAGCACCTCAGAAGAGAGACTAAAGGGTGCACAAACTTCTTTACAAACTAAAAATTGTAATATGAACACTAATTTGACCCGAATATAGTTTTTATAAAAAAACTCCAAAAAGGTAAAATGTGCTCTGGATGAGGATTTAAAAAGTAGTTTGACTGAACTGACAAGTTCTTTTTTTCCTTTTAAAATAAGGTTCGTGATCTTGATTGGGGCAAGAGACGAAATAATATCATGACTTCAGAGAAAATTGAGAAAAGCTTCCCTTGGCAAACAGAAAGGATATTTGAGTAACAGAAATCGACGACAGAAAACTTGGCTTCAATATACTTATAATGGGGAGACGGAGGCAAACATGAGCACCTTCAGATTATACTCCTGCATGACGGCTTGTTCATCGCACTATAAAAGAAGTGGAAAGGACCCAAGCGGAAGGTGAATCTAGCAGATAATTCTGGGGATAGGGCAGATCTGTGCCAGAAGTGTTCAAAGCCGCTCTTTATACCTAATCAAACACCGTAATTTTTTTTACATGAAGCACATCATAGCAGCAGACAACATAATTATTGGAGGTGAGGCACATCATAGCCGCAGACAATCAATCATAAGGAGAATCTAGCACGGCAGCCAGCTTGGATCCACAATCTTTCAAATTGAAGATCACGCAGCAGGGCAGTGAAGGATGAAACCACAAGTGCAGATGCACAAAACCAATGAAGCAGAACCACGAAGACACCTCGGACACAAAGCAAAAGTACAATATTTTTAGCAGTGTTCTATCAGAATAGTAGCATCTAATAGTAATATATCAGCTATCATTATAAGATCCAAACACATTTAAGAAACTACAAAATCGGTTCAGCGATAGACCTTAAAGGGAAAGGGGAGGGAGAAAAGGATAAAGTGACAAACCTACTTAGTAGTAAAGAAACTCAACCAAATGCAGGAGTTGAAGCTGAGGTCGTCAACCAACTTACAGAGTCATAACTAAGTCCAAGCACAGTTAAAAAACATTCCAAAAGCTTCTGAATAGATTCAAATTATTTTCAATTTTATGTGATCAGCTCCTACTCCTGCGTCGATCCCTAATGCCATTTCTGCATGTGAACAAAATGTGAAATCAACTAAGTGCACTGTACAATATGCTAAAATTAAAAATAGACGCTACACACAGATCTAACAATAAACAGCAAGAAAAAAAATTAAGAGAAACTTCATCAGATAAGCAGCAGAAGGTAACTGTAAGTAGTAAATGGCATACATGCACATGGATGATATGGATTTCTAAGTAAGATCAAGATAACATATGTAATGACTTGAGAGCAAGGGTCTCAAGTAAACAAACATGAAAGCAAGCAGATAAAGCTACAATCCATCATTACAACAATGTTTCTAGCACATTAAACCCACTCACTCTACTAGCATGATCAACCACAGTTATTGCCATCCCAAACATCCTCAATAACATTTACAAGAATATTCAAGCATCGATCCATCTATTGAGAACTTCTAGAGAAACATGAATCCAATTTGATTATTGAAAAACAAAAATCCATTCTGATAAATGTCCTGTCCAAGTTATTAATGGTTGTTGTAAGATAAATTAGAAGCATTAAGATAAGAATAAAGACTTCACCCATTGGCGTATTGTGCTTCATCTCTTCCACGGTAAGGAGACCTGCTGTAGATGCGACCTCTGGGCGACAAACTTCGATGTCGAGGAGATCGGCCATGCGGACTGAGACTCCTGATTCAGTTAACAGTGTCATGCAAACATTGAGTTAAAAATAACAGTCAAGGTTGTTCTTTATTCTTTCCCAAAAACCAAAACCCGTAGCAACTTAATTACCTTCTACCATAGCTTGGGCTCCTGCGATATCTAGGGGGTGTGTGACTCCTATGCCTTCCAGAACCTCCACGGTTCCTGCACTCACGGGCAAAATGGCCAGGCTCACCACACTCGTAGCATTTTAAATCAGAACTAGAATGGCCACGCCCCCCACCACGGCCACCACTTCCACCCCTAGAATTGTGAGAAAGCTCTACTCTCCAGCCATTTTCACCTATTCCAATTAATAAGAATATAATTTCTGGTATGCTACATAAGAAATTTAACATCACATGTTGATTGAAGAAAATGCAACATGACAAGATAACAACTAAAAAATTCAGCACTCCAACAGAATTAACATTTCAATATTGAATCAACATTATAGGTGGCATATAATTTTGATATATCTAATAGAAATTCATTTTTTCTCTTAATGCTCACCAGACCACTTCACTAGACACCCTCTCAAGTACTTTAGAGAACAGGTCAGGTCCAGCATCAAGATAAAGATTGTAAACAAAGAAAACATGGATGCATTGCAAATCTCAGCATCCTGAAGTTCCACTTGTGAAGATTCATGTTGAAAGACCAATAATAATATATATATTCTTTAAATGCATGCAATTTTATCATTATTTGCCTCGTACTAATATGATGAAGGACAATTTTCTACACCACGTCTAAGGCTAAGTCCTAATGGTAAAAATGTTAAACAACTAAGGGTCTTCAAATTGAAATTGCAGAAGTCAAATAAAGTAGACTACATACGAATTCTCATGAAATCAAACCCACTAAATTTAGAGAAATCTTCCAAAATCCAGACACGTCAATCCCATGCCCTAATATCAGACAATCGCTAGACCATAATAAATATATGTTAACAATGTAAAAGATTTCAACAGTTCTACCATCTAGCTCTCGTATGGCATCTTGGGCATCCCTTCGATCATCAAAATCAATGAAAGCATAGCCAGGGGGTCTTCTTGCAACCCAGACACTGCACAAAACATTAAAATTTAAAATAAGAAAAAGAAAAACAAGCTCGTCAAAAGAAAAAGAAGATAAGACAATAGTTACATGATAGAGCACTAATGCACACTTAAAAGCAAATTAATACAGTCATGTGTTGATCCATCTTTTAGGAGAATAAATCAAGTGATCCATGCTGACTTTTTTGAAGTCAGGGATCAATCTCATCTCTTCTGGTAAAAGATAACATTAGAACAAGCAGACCATCTTCTTGATGTGCAACATAATTAATCCAACGAGTTCCATATAACATGAAAAATTCATGTTTTTTTTCCAAATCAGAAAAGGATAGTTATGAAAATACTTATGTTTAACAAATAGAAACAAACAATCCATCAACCTAAAGAATAGCACACTCTTATAGATAACAATAATATGGAACAGTACGCCAAAATTGTAGATCCTACCTACTTAAATGATTGTCTTGATGAAAACATATCTGATAATGATTTTCACAATCAAAGCAGCAAACATCTAATTCAAAATAGTTCAGAATTCTTCAGGAATGTTTCTACCAGAACTGCAGAAATCTCCACTCCCCTTGATAACTTCATGGTATTTTAGCATAGTCAAGAGGGATATATGCCGAACTAATACAGAACTTCACAAGTCTAGTTATAGGACGCATTCCCAGTAACATACAACAGTAAAAACTCTAGCTTTTCACCTTCTGATGACTCCAAAAGTGCAGAACTCATCCTCAAGTTCTCGTTCAGTTACTCGTGGATCCAAGTTTCCAACATACACCCGAGACATCTTCAATCAAAACACCCTGCTAAAGGAGACCAATTTAACATTATCCACGTATATTATGCTAATTTCAAAGATTTCTAAAAATACTAAAAATTATAGGCTCCAAAGTCCAAAATCAAGTGACTCAAGATCGATATATTGTCCATACAGTAATGTAATAGAACTTGGAAGTCATACCTCAAAAGCTAGCCATTAAAGTTGAAAAACCCAAACCTATATAAACCACAAAAAGAAACCCATACTTTCGATGTGTGATTCAAACCCCCCATAAATTCCACTGTAACCATAACAAACCACCACGCTTTTGACCCCATGCCCACGCAGGGCAGGCGCCCATATGCCAAACGGGGTCTCGAGACGTAATGCTTGCTCTGATACCAATGTCATAAAACTTGAAAGAGCCATTCTTCAAAAGCTAACCAAGCCATACAAAGGAAGCCCATATTTCCGATGTTCGATTCAAATCCCCGCAAGTTTCACCAGAACCATGACAAATAATAACAATAAATAAACACCAAAGCAACGAGAAAAAAATTATTTTTAGTAAACTGGAAAAAAAAAAAAAAGGAACCTCGTGCACTCAATATACGTTTTAATCTAACAGAGACCCAAACGTGAAAAACTATGGAAAAACGTGAAGTTTACAGATCTTACTGTGAACAAGTGAAAGTCCTCAGGCTTTTGGTTCATAACATTAATATTTAAACATTTAGTGCGTGTAAATACGTGTGTACACATAGATGGTAGAGATATAAAAGAGACCTGAAACCCTAGCTGAAGAGAGAGAGAACTCTAGCGGCTGCCCGCTGGTGCTTGATACGACGAACGAAAGAAAGAGAGAGAAACTGCAGAGACGTTTGCGGATTTGGGTTTTATTTTAAGTTAAAAGAGGCCGAAGTGGTATTCATATTATTTTGGGCCAAATTACACAAACAGGCAAAAATATGGCCCATATTATATCCTCATGATGATTTCGTCCAAAAAGTCTTCCTTTGCCCCTCATATTTTCCAATTCGCAAACAAAATATATACAAAAAATATTGCCCCTTATTTTAAAGTGTGCTAACAGAATATTTGTATAGAGATCATTACGAGGATGTTAGTTGATGGGTGTTAAGGATGAAAATTGAAGACGGATTCAAATTTTCTCCAATGGGTGATTTTTGAATAACGATAATTTTGATAAGCATGAACCAAGCCCAGGAGTCTCTTGTTTTTTCATGGGCTTGGGCAACCCATAAGCCGAGCCCCAATGTGCACGGCTAGCGAGCAAACAAGCTATCCGAACTCATTGCGATCCCTATCCATCAATGTTCTATAATTCGTGGTTATGAAAACAGTTAAAAGAGAGGGGGTGGTGTTAACATAGAATTTATAGTAAATTATATGAGAGTTACATGATTTGGCCAACTTCCAAGAAACTTTCCGTTATGAATTTCTTGTAAATTTAAATTACGAGTCTTCTCAATGTAAATGAAATTGTTTCAAAATCATCTCTCTCGCGGGGTGAAGAACAAATATTTTTTGTAATTATATCCAATTGAATTTGGGGATCAGGATGGACCAACCCACACATACATTGGACACCACAAGGATTGATTTCTTTCTTTCTTTATGCGTGACATTTAGTGGAATCTTTTTTTTTTTTTTTTTTGATAACCCAGGTGTCCCAGCTTAGTCGGACTAAATTCTGGACCTCTAGCCCCCGGCCCCTCAGTGACTAGTGGAGGTAAATCGCAGGTTGTGCCCTTGTTGGTTCCCAGGTTCCCACATGGCTTTTACTCCTTCCCCAAAGGGACCCTCCTCCATGGTTATTACATCACCAAGCTGCTCCAATATTTGGCAATAAAATACATCTTTTAATCGATAAAATTAGAAATAAGGAACATATTTTCTCGCAAAAATGCTACTTTAAATGTACAATAAAGCTAGTTATACAAACATGCCATGTTTTGACACCATCGATATAAAAAGCAATTTTTAAAATGGATGAATGAAATGATGCCAAGTGTGTAGTCGTCAACAAAGATTGCATAGCATAATACTTTCTATTTTTATTTATAAGAAAATAAGTTAATTTATAAAAAGTTACTCAAATTTGACACGGATTTGTGTTTTTTGGAGCCTAGCTAAATGTGATACATCATAAATTGGACCCTTCAATTCCGTGATCAAGTTCTCTTTGTTCTTTTAGGTTTGACATTTTGCCAAGATAGGGAATTAAAATTGAGAGAGAGAATTCACTCCATATCACACTGATGCTGATATATAGAGTACAATTGTGCTGCTTGAGTTTGGTGCAAAGCAGTGTGCAATAATACTCATATCCCTAGTGCTTCTAATTTCCCTACATTTCTAATTCAAACCTAAAGGAGATCAAGATGGAGAATACCAGCAAAATCTTTGACGTCATCGTGATCGGAGCAGGGGTTATGGGAAGTTCAACGGCTTACCAGACCGCCATGCGCGGACTAAACACCCTCCTACTCGACCAGTTTGACTTCTTGCACCATCGTGGCTCGTCCCACGGTGAATCAAGAACAATCCGAGCAACCTATCCTGAAGACTACTATTCCAACATGGTCTTAGAGTCCTCGCGTCTTTGGGAAAAAGCTGAAGCTGATATAGGATACAAGGTCTATTTCAAGACCATCCACTTCGACATGGGACCGTCTGATGACAAATCCCTGAGAGCTGTAATCAGCAGTTGCAAGAAAAACTCGATCCCAGTTCGGGTTCTTAACCATCATCAAGTATACGAAGAATTCTCGGGTATGCTCGAGCTACAAAGGGACTGGATTGGGGTGGTGACAGAGCATGGCGGTGTAATTAAGCCAACTAAGGCTGTGGCCATGTTTCAGACACTTGCAGTTAAAAATGGTGCAATGCTTAGAGACAATATGGAAGTGATTGAAATTAAGAAAGATGAAGTGAGAGGAGGGCTGTTGGTTTGTACGAAGAGTGGTGAGAATTTCTGGGGTAAAAAATGTGTTGTAACTGTAGGGGCGTGGATGAAAAGTTTGGTTAAAAAGGTTACAGGATTGGTTCTTCCTACGCAGCCATTGGAAACCACTGTCCACTATTGGAAGATCAACGAAGGGCACGAGGCCAAATTCACTCTTAAAACTGGTTTCCCAACATTCGCGAGCCATGGCAAGACACATATATATGGCACACCATCATTGGAGTTTCCAGGATTGATTAAAATCTCGGTGGACGGCGGCCGCCCATGTGAGCCTAATGAGCGGACATGGGCTGCACCACCTTCGGTGGCGGATTCTCTGAGGCGATGGATAGGAGGAAGATTTGGAAACCTCATAGATCCCAACGGGCCTGTGATGACACAGTCTTGTATGTATACGATGACACCTGATGCGGATTTTGTGATTGACTTTGTTGGTGGGGACTTTGGGAAGGATTTGGTGGTTGGTGGAGGGTTTTCAGGGCATGGCTTCAAGATGGCTCCAGTAGTTGGAAGGATACTGGCTGATCTTGTGACTGTTGGAGAGGCAAAAGGTGTGGACCTCAATTACTTTAGCATAGAAAGATTCAAGGGAAATCCTGCAGGAAATGTTAAGGATTTTAAAGATGAAGTCAATCCCCATTAGCTGATTTTCTCAAGTCAATGTTCTCTCCCCCTTCCCTCCCTCCCTTTAGCATGTCCCTTTCTTGATCAATGTTAATTCATAAACCTGTAACTATGGCAAGGATATATTGGATGCAGCAAGAAGTTATGAAAGTTGTGATAAATTTAAATGTAATTAGAATGTAGCAAGACGGTTCCAAAGGGAAGAAAATCATTTACACAATTTCCAGATTTCAGAACATAAGCATCAAATTTGAGTTGCGAAACAGAACCATCCAGATAATATTCCTTGCAATGATTTGCAGCACTTCTAATACTGTTGCATTGACAAACTCTCCAAATATGAGCAACATTTGTATCTAAAAATTTAACATCAAGGATAAAACAACAGTGGTACACTGGTGCTATTCATGTTTTGCAAAAGCAACCTGAACATTTAAAGCAAAATCATCTATAAACTGCAATAGACCTACAACTACAACTTGATTTCTTTAACCAATTCTCAATCTATATCCTGTATAATGCATTTTTCCTTATTGACAGCAACCAAGAAATCTGTGATTATGTAATAAAATAGAAAATCACAGTTTCCGGGTTGGCAAACAATGAATTGAATAACCTAGAATAATGAACTCAAGGATATGTAATACAAGTTTATAGACATATCTGTAGCACTGCCGGTGAAACTCCATTCCTACCTTGCATCAGGACCTGCAGAGTGAATGAATACAAAACTGTTAGCGAGCATATTTCTCTGTCCGGGGAGAGAGAGAGAGAGGGAGAGTTGACCAGTTACTAAGATTCTACTTTTTTCCCCAAAAGGTGAACGCTTGATCAGGTTCTCATCAGGCTACAAAGGTGGCAAGAAGAGAATGCAACACAGCCCAATAGATTATGACACCAAGTCGCAAAGCAGGTTGTCGAATTAGTGCCCGATCACATGACATCCTGCCCAGAATTCGTAAGAGGAGATAAATGGGAAGTCCATGAATATCATTATATTTCATAGAAGTAGATTGGACCATACCACAAACCATCAATCATATTTGTCACTGGTCGCGTAAATTGCGTAAGAGAGGATGCATGTAGCTGACCCAAAAATACTAGGAACAAGTTTGTTTGTTGTTTGTTGTTGTAGTTTTCATACCGAAAAGAATGTTGGCAAGCTTTTCCAAAAATTCTGCCAGTAATAGTTGCATTGTTTAGACCTACTATTGTGGATGTTAAGAATCTGTTTTCATGTAATTAATACTTGTAGCGGTACATTTTCATTTCTAATCTTATTCATTCTAGTGTAAGCACACGTAGCATTCTCATTTCAATTATCCTGTGGACATCCTATTCTCCACCAGTCCAACGTTCAGTGGCACAAAGCATAGCAAGTCTAAGAATAGTTCAATAGATTTGCCTTTTAAACTAGTATAGATCTTCGTGTCACACAGATCTCTTATAACATTTCTCCAATTCATCCAGCAAGCTCTAATCCTATGCATTAAATCCTGTTCAATTCCTCCTTGTTAATAGTCAAACCTAAATACTTAAAACGACCACTTTTTCGGACAACATTATCCTCCACAGCAACTTCGCTATTATCCTTATTCCTACAATTACTAAAGTGGCATTGCATGTAACATACCATCATTCTACTTAACCTAAACCCTTTGAATTCCAAAGTACTCCAAAGTTCTCACTTATGATTTAAGTCCATTTTAGTCTCATCAATTAAAGCTGTATCATTAGCAATTAGCAAATATCGCTCTCTCATGAACCTCATCTCCATATGTCCCCCATAAGCTCATCCATTACTAAGTGCCTATTTGTCTCCCTATAAATTTTTAAATTATTTGCTACAGTATTATTTTTCACCACACATTTACACAATAAAATATTCTACACACAAACCAATAAGGTTTTTTTTTTTTTAACCTTACATTCTTTCAAAACTTTTTAATTTTCCAAATAATGGGTAACAAACAGGGCTAAATGAAAAGATAAAAAACTCAACATGTGCACTGAAATTTCCTTGATGACTAACTACACAGCAACACATTTCTAGTTACATGTTGACTAGTGGTCATGAAAACATTAGTTCGCAGGAAAGTTGGTTCCGAAGATATAGTGAGTAGTGACCAGCTAAATAATAACATTGCCCACCGAAAACATAACTTAATAGTGAATGCAATGAAAGGCTGCAGCTATTCTCATGATGAAATACACAAACTAATCTTTATTCCCAGAAGTGCACTCAACATGGCATCAATTTTCATTTCTAAGAGTAAAATAATAATAATAATAATAAAATAAATAAATAAATTGAAGAAGAAGAAGATTAATATACTCCAGAGCAGTTATCGTCTAACATTTTACAAATAAATAGATAATAATAATAATTACTACCATCAACCTTCTCATAGTCTTAACAATATTTAAGAAATTCCTATACCTACTTGAATTTTTTTTACTGGAAAAAATGAGAAAATAATACTTTTTTACGTCCAGCAGCAAGCATATTGGTACGGTTCTTATTTTTGTCCATCCAATCCAATTTACTATTCAACAGTCTCAATAGCTTTCGACCAACGTTAAATCAAACAGATCACCCCTAAAAATTCAAACAAATTAATACAACAATCACTTTCAAGATCAACGGCATATCATAAAATGGGGGATTATTTCAGAGAAGGTTTTAATACATCAAAATTACGAGTGGATGGTGGCATTAGAAATGAGTAAAAAGTTTCAACAATCACCGAACTTCCGTTTGCTGCTCAACGGTCACTGAACTTAAAAACACACCACTCCATCCATCACTCACCACAAAGCCGTCTGAAATTGTCTGATCTGGCCTTGACGGAATTCCATGTGGCATTCAACGGCATCAAAAGTGAGACACGATGGACATGTTTAAGATTACACGACTCTAACCCATTCAAAATTGAAAACCAATTTCCCTAATTCACTCTCCCATGAACCCTAATTCAATCTCCCCCAATTCAAAATCCTGGATCAAACATAGAGTCACTTACCAGAAGTTCTTCGTCTTCCAATGTACACCATCCCCAGCTGCAGATGATTATCAACCGATAAAATCTGAACCCACGCCCCGTTACCTAAACGTTGAAAACTCGAAGAAGGTAACTAGAGGAGCCCAACCAACTGCGAACGGTGAAGGTAATCTCCTAAATTCTCATTTACTTATTTGAAGAATATGTAATTGACACTGTTGAATGACCGAATTTTTGTTCAAATTTGCTAACTGCACAAAATCGAAGAGAGTTGTGAGATTTTCCTTCATTCAAATTGTTTAAATAATTTCTCATTGAAAGCACTTTGAATTTTCAATTTTGAACTTGGGTTCATCCTGTGAACATTTTTGAAATTGGACATTGTTTAATTTTGTTTGAGGAGGCATCCCGTAAGCATTAATTCTTGTTACAGAATGCTCAAAATGATATGGTGGTCATTGTTTAATTTTGTTTGAGGAGGCTGAAAATGAACTGATGGTCGTAGTTGTGATAGGAAATTATTGAATTAGCGTTGCGGATGATATTAGTTTGATGATTATCAGCATTATTAGTAAAAGTATTATGGTTACAAAATTAGAATGTCTTGTTAAATTGTGTTCCTGAATGGTGAGAAATTTTTATGCAGATTAGGATATTATGTGGTGTCGAACATAATGATTCGAAGAGGCTGATTTTTGTATCAAAATCAATAAAAGATGCGGTAAGATTTTGTAGTCCTAAAGATTTTGATTTTAATCACTTTTTCTTTTCTTTTTTCCCCTTCTTTTTTTAATAGACTCTGATTGCAAAACAGTGGCATTTTGCATATAGGAAAACTGTTGGGTTCCAGAATGTGGAGGATTTGGGTGAGTTCAATGACATTGAGGCATGGACGAAGCAACAAAAAGTTTCCAAACTTAGCTTATAAAAGAAATCTACCAAGTGATCACATTACGTTGTATTAAGCTTCATGTTGCATTTCAATTCCAAGTAATCAGGCAAAAACAAGGGATATGGAATCAAGGAAGCTTAGGAAAGATATATGCAGGCACTGTGGGGAGAAGTTGTTGGGGTCTCGTCTTGAGGCACGAACAATATGCTGTCCAATGTGTGGTGCTACTACAATACTTCAAATACCACGGCAGCTAGTCCCTCTTCCCGCACATGGACGGGCGTTACCTACAAGGGACATTGATACTGATGAAGATTGTGAAAAAGGGTGTTAATGTTTTTGTGGATAAGGGTGTTGATAACTTTGTAGTGTCAAAGTAATGTACATGTATTTTTTATGGTGTTTTCAGATGTCAAACAACTGAAGTTTTTCGGCGAACACTCACTTTGAATGCTGATTTGTTTTTCCATTGACTAAGTTCCTTTTTGTGGCTTCTGTTTTGATTTTGTTATGCTTGCAAAGACTTGTTTGATTTGAGATTGAACATAATTATGTGAAGTTGTGCATGAACGTCTCCTTGATGAAATCTTAATTGAAGTTGAATGAGTTTCTGTTGTATTTGAATAGCAAAAAAATCTCATTCCATAACATCCACTAATAATAAAAAAATGTTGTGTTGGAGTCCTGCACCGTCTTCAACTTGTAATCTCTTATTGTCCTGCCATATCAGGCTCAAGAAAAAGCAACTCAAAGAGTCAAGGCTTGCCTCATTACAAAAAAATAAGATAACTAAAGGTGAAAGAAGTGTAGATAATGAAAACACAAGAAGAACAAGAATTGGAGCAAATTCATCTTCTCGAAAACACAAAAATAAATATATAACATCATTAGAAACAATTCCACATTTTGAAATCACTATGTGCACAAATGGATGACACAATCTTTCCTTTCAAAGACACCATAAGATCATTAGAAACATTTCAACATATATAAAAGCTTCATTACAGGCAAAGTGGACTACTAAAATAAATGGCAATCAACATACAACAAGCTTGTATGCTTGATCTATTTCTAACGCCTCGAGCTGCAGGTCTTCCGTTAGATCCACACTTACACCTTCACCTTCGGCAATTAGAGTAAAAGCTTTGATGTTATCCATGTTGTTAGCCAATAGTTGTCTACCGTAACTTCCATCAGTGTGTATTTTATTTGTTGAAGCTTCGTTCTGAGAAATTGAATAGTGCAAATGACAGGAGGCTTGTCTTTTAGATATTTCAGCTTTTAATTCTTGAACAACCTTTGTAGTCTTTTCTATTGCCGAGTTCAACCTGCTGATTTCAGCCTTTCCACTTGACATCATGTACATTATTCCAACACCAACTCCCTATCCGAAGGATCCATCTGAAACAAAAACAGAACATGAGTTTTCAAGTACATTAATCAATCTGTATACCAAGTATCTTACAGCTAACAATAGTATTATGGAGGAATTTTCATGATAGCCTATAATGTACACAATTAACCCATATAGCTTTCTTCCACCTCAGAATTGAAGTTGAGCTAAGAAAAGATACCCACTTCTCATTAGTCATTACACAGCACAAATGCAAACACATTTCTCAACTTTAATTATATAAAATACATCAACTTCGTCTTTCTTATTTGATATCTTGAAAATATCATCAAATTTTGTAATAACATGTTCATAATCCCCATCAACTTTAACACCCCTATCATTTCAATCAAATTAAATTCCAATACTAAATGTAGAATTATGGGGAAAAAAAATATTGACAGCCACGATTACATTAGTACTAAACAAATATGATAGTTAACCTAGCCAGAATTATGAATTTTTCAATGCAGTAAATTACATTCAAAACATGGGGTTGGAGGTTGCCTAAATCTCATTCAAAAGTTAATGTATTACACAAAGCTGTTACTGGATTTCGTTGCTTGAGCAGCAAAAAACAATTTTCATGCTGCTTTTGGATTTTTGTACATTTTTGAAATGTAAAGGAAGATCGAAAAACAATGAAAACATTAGGGCTACAGACTAAGAAATTGTTCATTCTCAAACTAGGTATGAAACCATTATTACCTTTTGAAAACCTTCACCTACCGTCAGTTTGGTGTTGCTATGAGGGTGAAGATGAAGAAATGACCTGCGTCCGGTGTTGCTGTGAAGGCAAAAAAGATCTACCAATTTTGCCAGATGTTAAAGAATCGATTTGGGGGAGGATTTGGAAAAAAATCGATCTAGGGCTGGGTGTTCGAATTAGGGATGAGAGATTGTGGATTTGGAAATGGTGAAGGATCATGTTTTGGCTGTGAAATTGTGTCCATCGTGGTCGAGTTTGACGCCGTCGACAGCCACGTAACCTGCCGTCAAGCCACGTGAGACGGGTTCAAACGGCTGGGGCAGTGGGTGATGGAGGGGTGGTGTGTTTGTAAGTTCAGTGACTGTTGAGCAGCAAACGGAAGTTCAGTGACCACAACGTGCATTATACTAAGTTCAGTGATTGTCGAAACTTTTTACTCCGTTAGAAATTAAAGATGCATGCGTATCTTAGATCCAAAACAGAAGCATTGTTTGGTGAAATTCTTGGTAGTAAGGGGATTGGAGTAGGATTTGACCCACTATCAGTTATGCTTGAGTTAGTAACTTTGCTGTAAATTACTACTTACTCATCGAATTTTTAAAAAGTTATTCTTCACTCACTAAACTTTGCTATAAATTACCACTTACTCATCGAAATTTTAAAGGTTATTTATTGTTTACCCAAATTTGAACAAAGTTATCAATCAATCACCCATATCATTTACATGATTGTACCTATTACAAAATTTAGTGAGCAATGAGTAAATTTATTCAAATTTAGGTGAATCATAAGTAACATTTTAAATTTCGATGAGTACATAGTAACCCATAGCAAAGTTGATTGAGCAACGAGTAACTTTTTATAAATTGGTAAGCAAGTAGTGACTTATAGTAAAGTTCAGTGATCATTCATTAAATTATCTCGTTATGAAGGTGTATTATTTTTAAAGAAAAAATAATTTTCAAAAATTAAAAGAAAGGAAAAATTACGATGTGAGTTCTCAATTGGTCAAATTTGGAGTAGGATCTACTCTATCTTTTAATACGATGATTGTGTAAAATGTTCTACCTTCCTCCTTTTTTTTGCTTGGGAGAGAATAGTTAGGTATGAATATGTTAGATACGTATGACTTGATTGAATAATAAAATTCATAACATAAGGGTGATTAAGTGCTAAAAAAATTGTATATTGTTAAACCTAATCGGTTTGTCAATTACTCCGTTAACTAAACACCTATAGTCAATTTTTATTTAATAAATGAGGGATAAAATCGTTTTCACATAATTATAAGAATATGCACACTGCAATCTCATTCGGTCGTTGGATTCCCACCTCCACTATTTATCGCCAGTATTGGAATCTCGCCTTCCTTCCCCAGTGCTATCTTGGCTTGGTTTTGTTCGACCAAATTCCCTATTAGCTCTACCAGAAGCTTCATAATCCCTATCTGAACAGCCCTAGTTTTATTCTCCTTAATAGAGTAGAGAGAATACAAAGACGTGCAAGCATTCTTTTTGCGGGTAATTGGCGCAAAACATCCTTACCTTTCAAGGTTATTGTGGAAAACGTCCCTACCTTTCATTTTTTGACATTTTTGCCCTTATTTACCACCTTTCTTGCGCTGAAGGTCCTTTTCACTGTTTTTTGACGATTTTGCTCTCTATTCAAATAAAAGAAAAAGAATAGAATAGAAAACAAAAGAATTAATTGCAACTAATACCCCAAAATTTCAAAAAATTACAAATTAGTAATAAATATAGGAGTTAATAGCCCAAATGGTTACTAAACTTTGCCAAAGGTCCAAAAAGGTCATTGAACTTTTTAAAATACAAAAAGAAAAAAAACCAAAAAAACCAACAAAAAAATTGAAGAAACGGGCCCCACCAACAAAAAAAGGACAAAAAAAATAAGGAAGGTGAAAATGGAGGAAGGGGAAAAGTAAACCAAAAATTATTTTTTATTTTTTCAATCGTACATTTTTAATCAAAATTTATTGAAAATTTTATTTTTAAAAATAAAGAAAAAAAAATACAGATTAGTTTTGCTAAAAATAAAATTTTCAATAAATTTTGATTAAAAATGTACGATTGAAAAAATAAAAAATAATTTTTGGATTACTTTTCACCTTCCTCCATTTTCACATTCCTTCTTTTATTTTTATTATTATTATTTTTGGTCCTTTTTTTTTTGTGGGGCCCGTTTCTTCAATTTTTTTGTTGTTTTTTTGGTTTTTTTTTTCATTTTGTATTTAAAAAAGTTCGATGACCTTTTTAGACCTTTGGCAAAGTTTAGTAACCATTTGGGCTATTAACTCCTATATTTATTACTAATTTTTAATTTTTTGAAATTTTGGGGTATTAGTTGCAATTAATTCTTTTGTTTTCTATTCTATTCTTTTTCTTTTATTTGAATAGAGGGCAAAATCGTCAAAAAACAGTGAAAAAGACCTTCAGCGCAAGAAAGGTGGTAAATAAGGGCAAAAATGTCAAAAAATGAAAGGTAGGAACGTTTTCCACAATAACCTCGAAAAGTAAGGATGTTTTGCGCCAATTACCCTTCTTTTTACCTTGAAAATTCCTAATACTCGCAGCGTTTCTGATAATCTATTGGACCCTAAGGGATTGTAATGAATGATATTAATGACACAATATAAAGTAATAAAGATCGTAACAAAAAACAAGATTAAAAGTAAAGAAGAACAAAGAGAGTTAATCACAGAGAAACGATGTATATTAACTGACAATATGAATAGAAATTACAGACACAGCAACAATGCTTAAACAAAACTGACAGAAAAGCCTGGTATTTATAGGTCACATTCCAAACCCTAGAAGAGTCCTAAAATATAAGAAAATCTAATAAAATTATGTTACAATTTTGCATATAACTTCGACCGAGGGGATTTACTTTCCTTATTCAACTTGGATACAATCTTTCTTTCCAAGTAAAAATTAAATACGCAATCTTACAAGACTCCTAATTATATTTGACTCACAAAACCTAACAATCTCCACCTTAACTCAAATTCTGGTTCAAAGGAGCTCCACTAAATTTCTCTACTTGAGAAATAAACCCGTTTGCATCGAAATGAAATGGCCAATCTCGTCAATGGAATAACCAAAACTCTCCATGTAAACCATCGTCCTCTGCACGGCATCCACAAGCGACACCTGAACCCTACTCCTGGGTTCCCAAAATTCCATCAAGGAATTAATGTTTACGAAACAGGGTTGAAGCACACCATATAGCAGAAACCATACAAAATGCCTAAACAGAAGGCCCTTTGCTAGAACTGTTGTTTTCAACGTCCCCAAAAGCATTACAGACATCACTGCCACCATGGTACCTACACTCAATGGATCCAATCCTAACAACTGAACACAGTGCAACCGCTGAAATTGGTGGTAAAGCGGAATCACCAACGCTCCCTCGAGCAATATTCTGAACCGACCTAGAGCCCATCACAAGAGCACCTGTACCAAACTGAATATTCACCACGATACTGAACTTATCCAGATATCTCTTAATTGGTTATGCGCTCCCCTGCAAAATGTACAACTGAGACATTTTCCATCCCTTTAGTACAACCCGAACACCCTGTCGGACCTTCAAGAATCCACCTCCACCAAAGAATTTATATCATTTTGCATACAAAGTACTAAGTGAGATAATATTCCTTTTCAGGTCTGGAACATGTTGAACTTGATCAATTATTCTAACTGCCCATCCCGCAGCCTAAATCTGACTCGACTGATCCCAACAATACAACAAGACTGGTTTTTTCCCATTACAACTCCACATTGCCGAACATCCTCATATGTATGAAAGAAATTTCGATTGGAACACATATGATGCGAGCATGTCGAATTTAGAATTCACTCCTCATCAAGCCTAGATTTTGCGTTAAATACCACAGTCAACATCACATCTCCGCTGTTTGAAAAATCATCAACTTCCTTTTTTTTGGTCTGAAGTCAAAGGTTGCGCTTCACGATTTACAGCTAAATCACCTTCAGCCTGCAACTAATCGCAATACTTCCGAATATGTCCCTTATGTCTACAATAGAAGCAAACAAATTGTTGTTATTCTTCGATCTGTCTCTTCATCGACCACCACAAGATACAAGAGCTTCCTCATCCCTTGATGTAGCTCCAACTAAATACTTCAACAATTCCTTTGAGTGCAAAACATCATAGACGTCGTCTATAGTTAAAATATCTCGATTATACAAAATGGTGTCTCAAAACGACGCATAAGAGCCAGCAGCGAACACAACAGGATCAAGGTCAGATCCTCTTCATCGTACTTAACCTCCAACGTCTCCAGATCTGTAACTATTTCCTTGAACGCGGTAATATCATCCTCCAGTGACCCCCCTTCTGCCATGCGATGGGAATATAGCTTCTTCTTTAGAGCCAGTTTGCTCGTGAGACTTTTAGTCGTGCATAACTGCTCCAATTTCAACCACAAAGCAGTCATTGTTTTCTCCTTCAAGACATTCTATAGAATATTGTTGAATAAATGAAGATGGATCTGCGATAAAGCCTTCTTATCCCTCTTTTGTTTCTCTTCCATTGTCCAAGCAACTAGCACCTTCTCAAAACCCAGCAATGCATTGTTCAAATCTAACTGCTCTAAAATAACCCTTATCTTTACTTGCCACAAAGAAAACCTTGTATTGCGATTCAGCAGCGGAATATCATACTTCATGGTAGTCATCTTTGAAAAAACCTCAACCAATCCATAAAAGAAGAACCAAACTCTGATACCATTTGTTGAACCCTGAGGGATTGTAATGAATGAGATTAATGACACAATATGAAGTAATAAAGATCGCAACAAGAAACAAGATTAAAAGTAAAGAAAGACAAAGAAAGTTAATCGTAGAGGAACGATCTATATTAATTGACAATATGAAGAGAAATTACGGACACAGCAATAATGCTTAAACAGAACTGACAAAGAAACCTTGTATTTATAGGTCACATTCCAAACCCTAGAAGAGTCTTAAAATGTAAGAAAATCTGTTAAAATTATGTTACAGTTGCGCATAAAACTTCGACGGAGAGGATTTCCTTTCCTTATTCAACTTGGATACAATCTTCCTTTCCAAGTAAAAATTAAATACACAATCTCACAAAACTCTACCATATTTGAGTCACAAAACCTAACATAATCATGGGGAGTTGATTTCCTAGCTGATAATTATAAAGGTTCGATAATTTCATGGAAGATGTGCAGGCTAAAGGAGGAAATCCAGCTTGGATTCATAGATTTGCATTTGTTTAATTAGGTCTCATTGGCTAAGTAGAGTTGGAGACTACTTATTAAATGAAAACTTCCTTGATACTTGTGATTTGAAAAATAAATATTAACGAGATGTTGCTTTCGTAGCCGCTTCTAATGTGACCGGTTCCTCGTCCTTATAGAATAGCATTTTGTGTGTGTTGGGGGGTCGGGA